CTGCACCCTGACCTCTGTGCTCCCTGTGGGACCCATCAAATGGTTCAGGGGGGCTGGACCAGGCCGCGAGTTAATCTACAGTTTTAAGGGAGGAGAAGGCTCCTTCCCCCAAGTAACACATGTTTCAGATGCCACGAAGAGGAACAACATGGACTTCTCCATCCACATAAGTAGAGTCACCACAGCAAATGCCGGTGTCTACTACTGTGTTAAGTTCCAGAAAGGGACCCCTGATGTAGAGATTAAGTCTGGACCAGGAACCAGGATGTTTGTGCGGGGTAAGTCCAGGTCCCTCGAACTCCAGCCTGTTGTTCCATGTCACATCCTTCAGGCTCTCAGCACAAGGCTCCCTATCTGTTAGCCCTTATGTCAAGATTGAGGGCAGAAGATGGGGCTAGTGAGAAACTGTAGTGAAGGAGCTGAGTAAAGTATAATGCCAGGATCCATATCATTAGAATCCTACCCTTTAGAATCTTAACAGTTTTTGAAGGCTACAAATTAGGCTGGAAAGCAGAATGAGTAAAAGTACACACACCAGGGCCAAATGGCCTGAGTGCATCTTCTAACTCTACTATTTACAAACTGTATGACCTTAATAAGTTTATTAAATTATCTGTTCCTCAGTTTCCTCATTTATCAGATAGAGATAATACTACTACTTACCTGGTAGATTTGTTGTGAGGATTATATATTATGTAAATGAGTTTATAAATGTGAAACACTTAGAAGTGCCTATAATATAATAATTATATTAGGGCATTTTGTCAGTATTCAGGATATTAAAACCAATCAGACTTAAAAACATGATCTTAAAGTCATGGACCCATAGAATCATAGAAACAAAGAATAAATAATTGAGGCAGAAAATTAGAAAAATCATGTTTTTGATTGAAATATTAATCCACATATATCTTAAATTTTGTCCTTGATTTATGTAAGTCCTACATATTCTTGGATTTGGTATTGAATGATAAAGTCATGGCTGAAGACAAAGCTTGCAAGGCTCTAAGTAGCATCCATAAAGGAAAGCCTGGGAAGCAGAGCAGCCAGTTCAGGCCTGTTTGTGTTGATGAATTATTAATTATTATAATGTTTCCTCTGTAAAGAAAAAATGGGAATTATTATTTAATCTAAAAGAACCAGAAAAACATACATCAACAGAAATTTTGAATCTTTAAAATTTTAGCACCTAAGGCCATGGAGAAACAAAGGGGATGGAAGACAGTCTTTTGGAACAAAGAGAAGGGTCATAGGTTTTTCAGAAAAGCAAGTTGTATGTATTTGAATGAGATCAATGTGAGTTGTATATGGGTAACATTAGTCACTAGAAGGTAAGGAGTAGTGCCATCAGAATTCTTAGGGGAAATAATGTCCAACCTAAAATGTTATACCCAATCCACCAAGATTGCAAGATCACCAAGAAGTACCTTTCATGTACCCTTTTTGCTTTACCAAAATAGAGGTTAAATAAAGGAAAAGTATGAATGGGAACCAGAAATAGAGGATTGGAAACCCCAGATAACAGCTTGCATGAGCATTAGAATAGACACTAGCCATTCCAGAACAGGACGACTGAGGGCTTTAAGAGGGATATCTCAAGAAGATAGAATTGCTAGCCTATTAAATGGTCTTCAATCTCATGCCCACCATTTCTAATATTATTTAAGACTGTGTTGAAGTATTAGCCAATGCTTTATAAAGGGGAAAGTAGCTCAAAACACAAGAATGATAAAGGAAATGGGAAAACTCTCTCTGTGTAGATGACATGGTATCTGGAAAACATAATAGAATCAATGTTAAAGTATTAAAAACAATAAGAAAATTTGGTAATGTAGCAACTCATAAAATCAACAAACAGAAATAAATTACTTTCATATATACAAACAAAAGCCAGTTATAAGATACTATGGGACAGATGAGCACACATACAATAGCAAATTTAAATAAAATTAAATACTTAGGGCATCTTCTACCAAAAGAGTATAGAGACTGAACTTAAATGTTAAAAATTAAGAAACTATCTGAAAAAAAGGGTTGACAAGACATTGGACCCTAAGAGATGAGAAACAAATGAGGTGAGACTCAAAACTGCTCCAAGTTCTTTCTCTCAGAAAGCTTCCATGCTACCATGCAGTAAGAAAGAACTCAAATGGAGCCTGGAGGTCTCCCTGAGTTGGTAAGGAGGATCTAGAAGTCCAAGGAGGGTGAGGTGGCTGGCATTTTTGGAGTAGAGCACCAAAGATGAGAGAGCTATGCAGAGAGAGAACTCCAGAGATCTTGAGTATTCGGCTGAGTACTGAAAAGTGCATGTATATGAGGACATGCATATACACGAGCAAACGTATGTATATGGCCTCAGGGGAATAAAATTCCCAGAGCTCACACGAGGCCAAAATTAGTGCTTGTGGGACACCAACATGAGTAAAAAGCCTCATAATTCATGAAGCATTTGACAGAGTATGCAGAAAGGTTGTGCTTCAGTAGACATAAAAGAATAACCCCTAGATCAAATGATGCTGTGGTCCTGCATCACAAAGCTTAATACAACATATGAAAAGATCAAAATGTTTTGCAGGTAATTTAACCATGTCACAAAACAAGCGCTAATATATTTATAGGATTATGGACTATCCAGCAGAAATTCACAACATCTGGCATGCAATAAGAAATTACCAAGCATAAAAAAAACAGGAAATACAATTTATAATGAGAAAAATCAATCATTTGAAAGTTAACCAGAAAGGACAGATGATAGAATTAGTACACAACAACACTGAAGTTATAACTATATTTGCTCAAGTAGCCAGAGGAAAGATTGAATATGTGAAGTAGAGGAATGGAAAATATTTTTAAAGATCCATATTGAACTAATATGTATTAGAAATCTTCAAGTGGCCTAATAAATATGTATTAGACATGCCAAAGGAAGAAGGGGACAGAAAGAATATTTGAAGAAGAATATTTGCACATGTTCTAGGTATGATGAAAACTATGAACACATGAATCTGGAAAACTCATTGAACCCCAAGCACAAGAAACATGAAGAAAACTACACCAAAGTGCATCATAATCAAATTGCAGAAGATGAGTAATAAAAATAACTATTAAGAGTGTCTAGAGAAAAAAGGAAATATTAGATACAAAGGAATAAAGATAAATATTACAGCAGATTTCCCATCAAAAATGATACAAGACAAAATGATGTATCTGATAAGGGGCTAATATCCAAAATACATAAAGAGCTCATATAACTAAACACTGAAAAAACTAATAATCCAATTAAAAAATGGGCAGGGGATCTGAATAGATATTTTTCTAAAGAAGATACACAGATAGCCAACAGATATATGAAAAGATGCTCAACAACACTAATATCAGGGAAATGCAAATCAAAACTGCCATGAGCTATCACCTCACACCAGTCAGAGCAGCTAATATCAACAACATGAAATAACAAGTGTTGCCAAGGGTGTGGAGAAAAGGGAATGTTTGTACAATGCTGGTGGGAATGTAATTGGTGTAGCCACTATGGAAAGCAGTATGAAGGTCTCTCAAAAAACTAAGGATAGAAATACAATATGACCCAGCAATTCCACTTCTGGGAATTTATCTGAAGAAAACAAAATCACTAATTCAAAACAATATATGCACTTCTATGTTTATTGTGTCATTATTTACTATAGCCAGAATACAGAAACAACTTATGTTCATTGATAGATAAATGGATAAAGAAAATGTGGTACATATATACAATGAAACATTACTCAGCATAAAAAAATGAAATCTTACCATTTGTAATGACATGGGTAGACCAAGAGGGTATTATGCTAAGTGAAATAAGTCAGCCAAAGAAAGATAAGTACCATATGATTTCACTTAAATATGGAGTATAAAAAACAAACCAAATAAACAAGCAAAGCAAAATAGACTCAAAGGTATATAAAATAGACTGGTGGTTGCCATGGGGAAGGAGGAATGGGTAAATAGGTGAAGGGGAAAAAACTAGTGAGAATGTTTGCTATCTTGATCTGGGTGATAATTACATGAATATATACACCTGTCAATTCATTGGTCTGTACACTAAGATTTGTGCATTTCATTGTATGTGCATCCACCTTCTAAATAAATAAATAAAATCTTAAAAAAGAAAGTGATTCAAGCCAGAAGATAGTGGAGAAACACCTTTGAAGCACTAAAAAAAAAAGAAAATACGACAATGCTAAATATTTATGCACCTAATAAAAGTGCTTCAAAATACATGGCATAACACTACAAAAAAAAGAAAATTACAGATCAATATCCCTGATGAAAATAGATGCAAAAATACTCAACAAAATATTAGCAAACCACATTCAAAAATACATCAAAAAGATCATCCATCATGATCAAGTGGGATTTATTCCAGGGATGCAAGGATGGTACAATATTAGAAAATCCATCAACATCATACACCACATCAACAAAAAGGACAAAAATCACACGATCATCTTAATAGATGCTAAAAAAGCATTTAGCAAAATTTGACATCCATTAATTATAAAAACTGTTAACAAAATGGGTATAGAAGGCAAGTACCTCAACATAATAAAGGCCATATACAACAAACCCACAGCCAAATATTACTTAACATCAAAAAATTGAAAACTTTTCTTCTAAGATGAGTAACAAGACAAAGATACTCATCCTCACCACTTTTATTCAAATAGTTCTGGAGGTTCTAGCCACAGCAATCAGACAACACAAAGAAATAAAAGACATCCAGACTGGTAAGGAAGAGGTTAAATTGTCACTGTTTGCAGATGAAATGATATTGTATACAAAAAGCTCTAAAGAACCCCACCCCAAAACTACTAGAACTAATAACTGAATTCAGCAAAGTTGCAGGATATAAAATTAATACACAGAAATCTGTTGCATTCCTATATACTAACAATGAACTAGCAGAAAGAGAAATCAGGAAAACAATTCCATTTAAATTGCATCAAAAAGAATAAAATACCTAGGAATAAACCTCAACAAGGAGGTGAAAGACCTATACTCTGAAACCTACAAGACACTCTTGAGAGAACTTAAAGAAGACACCAATAAATGGAAATACATCCTGTGCTCATGGATAGGAAGAATTAATATTGTCAAAATGGCACCTAAAGCAATCTATAGATTCAATGCAATCCCTATCAAAATACTGACAGCATTCCTCAACACAAACTAGAACAAATAGTTCTAAAATTCATATGGAACCACAAAAGACCCTGAATAACCAAAGACATCCTGAGAA